TTGCCTTTATCAGTTATCTAAAAATTTTGACCTGATAGTGAAAAAAAGGATGGCGGATTCGTAATCAGCGCTGAAAGTTACCTTAGAAACGCTTCTTCACTGCTCATGTCAAAAACTATGTAAACCTGTGATATTGATGTTGATAGATAACTCATACGCCATGGCATATGCACGATATAAGTACATATGTATGTTTTCTTTCGCGCGTGCGGGCTCACGGAAATTACGTTTTTGACGTTTTTCATATGAAGTGACCATCAGAATAGGCTGACCGAAGATATTTCATCTATTTATGATATTACTAATGTGCTGTCAATAGGACAGCCCGTCTGAAGTATGTTGACTTATACTTGCAAGAATGTATTTTAAATTTTCAGATTTTTTAAATATTAATAGCTTCTGAACAACATAACTTATTAAAAAACTAATGACGTCAAAATAAAGATAATTCATGTGCCTTTCATGCATGAATACAATTTATATGCCTTTTTATATTTTTAGTCCGGAAATACTAAAAAACAAAATAAAATAAAAATATATTTTTTAAATGGCGTTTATATAGTTTAGTTTTAAAACTGGTTGTAGTATATACGTTGCATAAAAGGCATTTAAATTATGTTGAAATAAGAATCAATAATTTTTTAAGCGGTTAACTAGTTTCCGAGATATGAAACACATAAGAAATAGATAAGTTGAACTTTAACCTCTTTTATTGGCGTTGGTTTTTATTTGCACCAAATAATTTTGGTATGATTGAAATTAGCGTAACAAATTAGCATAAAAAAATGTCAAATTAAACTCTGAGTTTCTTAAACACCCCAATGTGAACGCTTGACAGTAGTTCATAAATTCAAAACATTAAACTCGAGTTAATGGCTCAATGAGAACATAATATTAAGCGTTCACATTGGCGTGTTTAAGAAACTCAGAGTTTAATTTGACATTTTTTTTGTTTACTTTTTCTTATTCTCATTTAGTCTGTTCACGTACTACAGGAGTTAACACAAACACACATAAGCCTAGAATACCAGCCGTTTAGCTATAAAAAAAAACAAGAAATGAGGATCGATAGAACTTTTTACGCTAGTTTCAACCATACCAAAATTATTTGGTGCAAATAAAAACCAAAGCCAATAAAAGAGGTTAAAGTTCAACTTATCTATTTCTTATGTGTTTAATATCTCGGACACTTCTTCTTCTTAATTGGCGCTGTAACCGCCTAAGCGATTTTGGCCGAGTCCAAAACAGCACGCCAGTCATTTCTCTTCTGTGCTAACTGACGCCAATTGAAAATGCCAAGTGAAGCCAAGTCCTTCTCC